TTCTCTATATTTTAAAACATGCAGAATTCAAAAGGCTGCCCTGAGGATGTTAAACAGAATACATTTGATTTTGCTGGTTGGTAATCTCCTGTTACTTGTACATACAAATAAGTCCCAGAAAAGCAATATATGGTGACAATATGAAAACCATAAATATACTTAGAATGTTGTAATACTTCTGCACTACATTCATTTGTGCTGGCCACACTAAAACACCAAGAAATGTTTTCTCTCAACCTCTGTTTCAAACCCTCCCACCTCTGCCTTTCTGATATTTCATCTGTCTTTCGAAATTTAAAAAAAAAAATTAAAATGCTGAATTTAAAGGAAAGGCAATTTATGTTTATTATAAAGATTGCCAGTAATGAGAATGGATAGGAGATAATTATGAAAATAAACTGAGTACAGCAGGGACGGGAAATTTTTTGTGCACAGACCAAATGCAGTTTGCTGCCCACTTTTGAAAGCAGCTCATCCACTTACGTGCTCTAGGTAGCTGCTGTCCCTAGAAGAAAGAGTTGAATAGACCCTGAGGCCAGAAAAGTCTAAAACATTTGCTATCTGAACCTTGACAGAAAAATTTCCTGGAGGCATAGGAATTGAACCCTGTTATCTCAACTCCTTATCACCCCTGCCAAATTGGACTAAATAACAGTGATGTTTGTAAGGCACAACCATCAACTGGCTTCAATTCCTGTTCAATTAGTTATTCATATAGAACAATAAAAATTGTAGTCCCTTAGGTCACTTTGTTTTCTTTTTAATTTAGCAAACATTATAAATGCACCAGCAGGACAGTCACTCAGCATGCACAAACCTATTTGTCAAATAATTGTACAAATGCAACATGCAAAGTGCCGCTCAGAAGACTGCACTAAAACACCGTGTTAGGTGAGAGTTCCTTATCACCTTGTCTTCTATTGTTAAGTTCTGCATTCTTTGAAGGCATCTCCTATTCTATGTCATCTAACTGTGGTTCCTTGTAGCCTTAGGGGAGCTCAGTATATGTTGCTTAAATGAACGAATGATAAGTAGAATAAAATCTCCCTCATTAGAACTTATTGAAAATAAAAATCAATTCATTAGTACATTTAAACAAATGTAGGTTTGTCATCAATCAAAGTAGTTGCATATTACTTGAACAAAGAATGGAAACTGATTTCATATGTGTCTTATGGGAACACTTATAACTCTGTGTCAGATCTTTTACAGTAAATGCAATTTAGTGGCTAATCACTGCTAATTGAAGGTACTAATGGACCTAATTTTTAATTAAGAGATGGAAATAATTTTTAATGAGCTCATGGTATCTATGAAAACAAATTCTTTTTAGAGCTTGAAAATGGTATTGTTCCTGGAAGTAGATTTAACATTATCCTCTGTTTCCCAAAACATGATATTGTTTTATAAAATAATTTCCACCTAAGAAGAGGCAGTATAGAGCTAATCATCAGAGAAATCTTTGGTAGAAAATCTTCAATTCTGCATTAATGAGGTTTACCAATGCAAACTGAAAGCGAGGAGGAAAATCCACATACTATTTTAACAATTAATTTTGCCGTAGTATTTTGGGCAAGAAACCCTCTGAGGGATTTCATGCTGAGAGCACAAACCTGACACTGACAATAGAGAATAATTCTAACTTCTGGCCTTGAAATGTTTTGGGCATGGCAAAACAGAGACTTTGACAAGGAGGGGTGACTCCAGTGAAATACATCAGAGACTCTCATTTCCCAATCAAGCCACTTTCTTTCGGTATCACTTTTCTTACCTTAGTTCTATTTTCCTTGGCTATTATATATATTTTAAGTGCATTCACCTTTTTGCTAGTTAGCTGAAACTTTCCCTAAGCAAAGTATCTCTTGGGTTATGTGTTTGATGACTTGATTCCTTGTTATTCATATTCACAGCAATGTACTTTGGTAGCTGCTGAATAAATAGTGTGGGTCACTATGCTTATAAAACCATTTTAAGTGTTATGGTCATACAAAGTCACACACTGAAAAACACTGATCTGATACATTTTCTTGCATGTAATTGTTTATATTGCACATGTTCTGAAAGAACTGTATTTCTAAAATAATTCTTAGAAGCCTCTGTAACATTCTCCAGAAATGCATTCTATTGGTGATCCCCTATATTGGGGTTGTTTTTTCTGATAACTAGACCTCATCTAAGTAATAGCAAAACCCAAATAAATAAAACAAAGTTCAGACATATACAAATATCCCCACTTAAATAGCAGCATTTAAATAGAACTTATAGAGTGTTCATACTGCTTGACTCCCTTAATCTCAGTCAACTTCACCTCAACCTCTTTCTGCCTAATTTGATCCTCCTTCTTCATTTAGATCCCAGCAAGTGACTTCTCAAGCCAGAATCAATAGGAACCTAAGAACCACCTTTAACTCTTTTCTCTCATTCTGTCTTGACATTCAATTCATTACCAAGTCTTGTATATTCTGTCTCCTTAACATATTACAAATTTGCCAACTCTCCATTCTCATTTCCAACAACTAGAACACATGTCTCTTTGATTTTGTGCTTGGGTTCTTGAGTTCTGGTCTCTGTCCCCCTTCTTTTTTTCTCATTTTGTCTCCCTTTCTATCCAAAGTAATCATGTCATTGTCAAACTGAAAACCTTAAGTGTATATCTAGTGCCATCTAAGATCAAGTTCAAAGTATCTCATCTGGTCATATTGCTATAGCTTACTTCTCCAGCTTCACTGTTTCTATTATAGTCTCTCTCTCTATATATATATATCCCTGGCCTGTTGAATCATAAGTAGTTTCTCAAATTTGCCCTACCCTGCTAACTATCTTTCATTGTCTAAAATTCTCCTCCTCCAATTCAATTAATTTTTCACTTGGCTAATTCCAATATGTCCTGTTGTCTCTGAGCTTTCTTCTAACTTCCTGACTTCTACTATAAGTTCATTGTTCTTTCCTTATGCTATCACAGGATTCTGTAACAAGGATGACTAGTAAAGTTGTTGCTAATGACGTGTGCACCCCTTATTTTATGCCAGAATCTGTTCTAATCTGGTTGTACATTTTAATGCATCTAATGCTCACAACCTGATGATGTGGTTATTATTATTTCCAGCCCTGCTTCATCCCCCAACCCCCGCCTGGCCTGAGAAGCTAAGCTACAGAGAAGTAAGTTTCCCAAGTCACAACTAGTAAGTGGTACAAACAGATTTTGATTCTGTTTACAAATTTAAACATCACAGATTTTTTTTTTCCTTATGAAGCACAGATGACACTATATTATAATAACCTATTTACATCTATCTTGCTAATTTGATCTCAGGGTTTTTTTTTTTTTAAAGATTTATTTATTTATTCGTACAGAACTGGGGTACAGGCCAGAGATGCGGAGGGTGAGAGGATTCACCAGAGACAGAGGGGAAGCAGAACAGGCAGATCCGACGAAGTACACTGCTGAGGGGAGCAGCGGGCGGGTCAGGAGAGGTCTGCCTCGCCATGTGGTCACCTCCAGGGCAGGTGGGGTTCGAACTCATGCGGAAGTGGCTTTAGTTTCTCAGTGCAGTACTTTAACCCGCTGTGCCACCTGGGAGGGCCATGATCTCAGGGGTTTTTAAGGAGCATTGTATCCCTAGGGCCTTGGTGAATTATTGAGTAGACACCTTTTCTTGAACAAAGATGCCACATGTCAAACAAAATAAGGTTGTATACATTAAACAAATTTTCTATTCAGTGTGGGGGGGTCCCATATTCTAAATGAAATAGAAATATTAAGATGAGTTATACATTTTGGGAGAAGAGAAGCGATATTTCTATTTATGCTAACTTATAGAAATCTGACAAAGTAACGTGCCTTCACTCCTGAAGACTAACTCATTGTTTCTCAGTTGAATTTCTAAGATCTTGTGAACATAGCAGATTCATAAGATATGTAAAAGGATTACCCTTCCTGGATTAAGCAACGTGGTGGCTGAGAAGAAGATATTCTGTGCTTGAAAACCACCATCTACTTGCCAGACTCTCCTGTACCACTGACTCTTTTGTTCTATTTTTTTTTTCTGTGTGTCCAATGCCCTTCTTGATTTGGATTTTATGCTCTCATATTCTGACATTTCAAAGATCAAAGAGTACAAAGCTCTTCAGGGTGCCAATGGTTTATTTAGTTAAAAGAAAATCAACAAAAATGAAAAAAATATATATATAGATAGATAGATATGATGCCCAATTTTCTCTTGGCAAAAGCAAAATTCAAAATTAAGACAAAAGCACAAAACTTGTGCAGCTCAAGATAAAAGCCACCTTTTCACATTCACACACCCTATCATAGACGGCAGCACTAAAATTTATAAGACAATTATTACCATTTAAAAACCTTGAGACACTAATGTATTCTCAAGTCAACCTCTGCCACTTTGTTGTACAAGTGGAACATCAATAGCTTCAATTTCAATATCCAAAATACCACTTTTGGAACAAATCTAAAGTTTGATTCATTCAGCAAACAATTATGTTGAGCACCTACCAAATGTCAAATACTATGCTGGGTGCTGAGCAAGCAAAATGGGATGATTCTCTGATTGTAGAATAATTCTGGTCTCTAAAGCAGTGCTTCTCAAACTATTTTTCTTAATCTGTGTCCTCCATTGATAAACATAATTGTCCTCCTCCACTTCCCGGAAATTCTGAAGAACCTTCCTGACACTGAGCATCCTGATACACAGAACATAGACTCTATTTTCTGCGTATCCTTCACAGATCAAATGACTTAGAGTTTTTTCCTTTTATACTTCAAAAGCAATGCATTTGCTTTTTTATACATAAAGCTGAATTGCAATATTAAAATATACATTTCTGTTTTGACCCATCTGATCCTCCCTTACCCAGAAAATGAAATTCCAATTCCCTGTACCCATCCCTGTTGAGAATCACTGCTTTAAAGAGTTTTGGATTAAACCAGGCAACCTCCATCTCTCCCCTCCAATCAAATCTTAAAGGAATTAGAATTTTCCTACCTGACACAACAGCTGGTGGAGTATCATAATCCTGTCTTGGGACTGAATCTTTGAATGAAAAGAGCATGAGAAAGAATGCAATGAAGTACAAAAGAAAATAAAATAGAATCTTAGTTCTAACATGTGGAAGTACCCACTGTTTATCGTGAGGTCACCTAGGCCTCCATCAAACAAGGCACTGGGACCTCTCCTTTACAGTTGATTTGATACAATGGTGCCCGATCCCACCCGCTGTTGTTAAGCCCCATGTGACCTGCTGGGACAGTTCACTCTGTCCCAGAACATTGTTCTCTTCCTCAGTCTGTCATAAATTTGGTTCTCCTCTTTGGGAATTGATGTGAATTTTTTACCCTCTCTGACTGATACAAAAGTTCGACAAAGCAGCCCAATGAGAAGGGGCCCAGAGTATGATTAACAAACAAAGACCTGGAGAACAAAAGAAGGAACTAACATGTTTAAAGAGGTGACTGAAATATTTGCATATTCCCATAATGCACTTGCAAGCTAGAGTTTCCTTATGAGTCACTCAGCTGTGGCTTTGATCCCCATGGTTGACTGAGGACTTGGTGCATTGGAATTGGGAGAGCTGAAATACGTAGAGTCTGTTCAGCAGATGATGGTTGTCATGTTTGAAGTATGATAACATTAGAGGTGGGGAATGCAAGTGTAATGTTTATTAAACTACAGGGTGCCCATTCCAAAATTGGGGGTTTCATAAGATCTATAGAGGGTAGATAGATATGCTTTTTGTCAGATGAAAGTCTTTGACTTAGACAAGTCCTTTAGCCAAGTATCTTAAAAAGGAAGTGGAGCATGGCTTGTGGCCCGAGGTCCCACTTCTAACAATGGAAAGTTGCCAACTACCCTCAGCTCCCTTTGGAGGGGTAAACTGTAACATTGGCCAAATACTTTTCACATTCAAATAAATCTTCCAAGTATGGTTAACTAGATGCTCTTTTGTGACCCTGATTCCATTCGTATGACCATTATTCCATTTAATAACTAAAACCTAAAACCTCAAACTTTATTTTTCTACCTACTAAATTTGGCCCACTACAAACATCTCCATTTCATTTTCTTGACACAAAAGTAGTCTTAATCATGGGTAAATGGCATATGAGAAGGTAATTAAAAACTTGGACATTGCAAGGTTCTTTGACCCACAGAAGCAAACACAGATCAAAGCTTCAAATGCAAGTAAACCATAAATCTGAGCTATTTTGCTTCTTAAAACAGGTACATGAACTAGGGAGTTGTGTCTAATCCCCAAAGTAGAATGAGATGATTCATTTTTAAAGGGTCTCCAATGTTTTATTAATAATGTAGTAACTCCTAATACCTTTTTAAATACTACATTCACACATTATCACTAAAACAGACAAAAAAAATGTTAATTTAGGACCATGCCAGTAGTAATTTCCCTAGGAAGTGTATATTTATATATAACCTCTTAAAATAAAGAATAATAGTAATTCATGCCTATTTTTGCATAGCTAGAGAAAATAGAAGAGCATACTGTTCAAATTACAAGTTATTCTTAATTCTCTCACCCAGAAATAACCATACTTGTTTTATAATTCTGACAGGTTTATTCATATATTTTTTCAGAGTTGATACAGTACTCTACACATGAAAATTTGTCCAAGGCTCCAATGTCTTTATTATAATATGATAAATTACCCTTAATCATTTGAAAATCATAAGATAACCATACTGCGTTACATTCTGGCTTATGAGTGGATGATGACTTATTTAATCATTCTCCTTCACTGGAATTACAAAGAACACTAAGACAAATGTTTTTTGAGATATGAATTTTTTTCCCGGAATTTTAAAATGCTACTATGGACTAGCTCCTCCAAGATAGGTCAGTCAATATAGCTGTCTGGAAGGATATCATCTCACTAGCCTTTTGACACATTTGTAAACTTAGATTTCTACTGTCATATAATCAGTGCTAGGGAATGTTTACTTGCCTGCAACCTCATGTGTGCTATTTTAATCATTTTATTTAGAGTCATAGGTTTTTATATATTTGAATAAATTAAAATTCTCTGATTACTACTTTTTTCATATTTTTTTTGGTATTCTATGTGTGTGTGTTTGTGTGTGTGTGTGTGTGTGTGTGTGTATTTTTAAACCAACTATCAATGTTACTTGACATTTTACCTAATTGAAGCTTTTATATTATGTTGGTAATTTATTTGAACTCAGAATAAACTATTTCATAATGCTCGTCTTTAACTTAATGACTACTTATCTACTGTTGATGTTACCAATGTCTACTTATCTACTGTTGATGTTACCTTCAGAGTTCATTTATCTTAAAATAAGACTAAACAACATTTTAAAAACGATTTCCTTTTATCTCTGTTTTCTCTATTGTTTTTGACTATTATTAATTAATTGGTAGTTTTCCTGAAAAAAAAAAAAAACCTTTAAGGAGAGGAACTCATTACCATTTACAAATTAGTGATACTGTTTTCTAATCAAGAGTCCATTCACCATCATGTGTTGCTTTTTATCTCTCTCAGTCTTCAAATTTACATTCATACTTAATAATGGGAAAAGAACAATCTCCAACAACATGAATAATTCAGGGTTTTCACCTGATACCATCAGAATTGTAGCACAATAAAGGAGGCAAATGTTCAAGAACTATGGTGAACAAATGGGGTACAATTACAACATTGCCTTTGTGAGTGGCTATGGTTACACCATGAGAATCCAGTGGTGTCACAAATCACCAGTGGTCAGGGGAAAAAACAAACAGAACTGCAGATAAGGAGCCTGCCAAACAAAAACGTTTTATTCCTTTCAACAGATTCTGGTGACACTGTAAGTCACTGGTGGCCAACCAACTGAACAAATGAAAAAGAGATAAGAAACTTGTAAAACAAGATTGTCATGCAATTTGGAGGTTCTCATAACAGAGTAGAATCCCCAGTGGTTTCTGCTAAAGCTTACAATAAGTGATAAGAAATTATGGATAACAGGGCTTTGATTCTATTGAGGGATTCATGTGACAAAAAATAAACAAAAGCTAAAAAATTCTTCAAGGTCAGCAGAGCCCTGGAATAAAAAAATGAAATGACACTGCTTGCCTGAAATTCATTTCTTTAACGGTCTATAGATTGTGTACAGCTTAAAAATAGAGAATTCAACAATAAACATTTGAAATGTCAGATGGTAGAGAAAGGTTAATTAAACTATATCACATCCATTTGAAAACTGGGGGTGACGGGGCAAAATATATTTAATTTCATGATGAGGAAAAGGGGGCTCTGCCTTAACAACTTCATTTTAACCCAAGGGTCATAAAAAGGAAAGTGGGGCATGGACTCTGGCCAAATGCCCCCCCCCCCTTCTAAACATAGAAAATCCAATCTAGTTCCTACTCCCATCAGCCTTGGATTATTCAATGGATCTCTTTCTGCTCTAACCTTGATATCCATTTCTGGAGTTGAGATTCTGAACTTAATCCTGATTTGTCAATTCTCACACCTTGGCTTGAAGAATTTCAGTGAGCACAAATGTTTGAAAGTCTCTGGAAGGTGATAGGCAGGAGATAGACACTGTCAGATGTTAGATTGACTGCTATGGCAACATGGTAGAATGAATGGCAAGAAATTGTGACTGAAACAGGATGAGGAGTTAGAGCACACTATTACAATTTATCGAATGAGACTCTCAGAAGAGCTGTATCGGACAAATATCTGAGACAAAATTAGTCGGACTTGAAAAGTAATGAGGGAGAAAGAAAGATGTTAGGTTGAGTAATGGGGTAGCCTTTGACTACTGGGTGAATGGTCAGGGGTTAGCTGAAAGGAGATAAGGGCCAGAGGCATGAAGTAGGAAGGGCATACAGTGTGGACGAAGCACAGGAGATTAGTTTGTAACATGCTGATTTTGAGATGTTTGAGGAGATTCACATGGAAATATTTACCAAGTAGTCAAACAAATGAGTCAAAACTTCTAAGATGAGGTTAGCCTTGAGAATTCAGGTTTAGGAGTGTTCAACAGAGTTCAAAACATGAGAGTAGATGAGTTTGCTTAAGAAAATCATGCAGGGATGAAAATTAAAAAAAAAAAAAAAGGAGGCCTGATTTAGCAGCCTGTGAAAGAAAAGCAGAATTAATGGGCCACAGAATTCAGTTTACAATCAGGAAAACCTTGGACAAGGCAAGAACTAGTTGTTCACAGAACAAACTGGGTGCATGGTTTGTTTTTAGGGAGATTTCACATTAAATTTCCCCAGTTTGGCTTATCTTAAAAAAAATGGGGAGTAAGACCACCTTGGTCTTCACACCTGTGTAGCCCTAACTGCATAAGTTTGAGCAGTGACCACTCTCTTTAGACAAGACATTCAAGTTCCAGAGCAAAGAACCACTTCCCCCCACTGTCACCCAACATTCAGTGATGTCACTATGATCACACCACAACTATCTCTACTTCTAGTTAAAAGCATAATTTCCAATACCATGTCTGTATTACATGGCTGTGGCAGAGGTGAATACAGACCACATTTGATTATATATTTCCAGAATTAGTGCTATTCATGGCTGTGACTTGCCTGGTCTCTATGGATATGTGTGTTTATAACCCTGGGGGACTGTATTAGAAGATAACACAAGTAAGTGGACACGAGAGAATTTAAGTTATGTCAGATAAGATAGAGGAAGGCAGTGAGTTATGCTGTGGACTAGACAGGGAACTACATTCCTTCCGGTGATCTAGCACCTCAGATGTTAGAAGCACAGGAGAGAGAAAGAGAGAGACAAGGGTGGCCTGTTTGATAAGCATTCACTGGGCTGCATCACTTATGTCACATATTCATGTGTGTGTGTGTGTGTGTCTGTGAGTATGTGTGTATCACCTCATTTAACACTCATAACAACTCCGAGATATAAAGATTATTTTTTTCCACTTTGTAAAAAAGGAAATAAAGTCCAGAGGGGATAAAGGATCTGCTTGCAGATGTATAATTAATAAGGTCCAGAGCCAGGCTTTGTACTCAAGTTTGACTCCAAGGTCCACAGTTCTGACACCAGGTCAGCTTTCGAGCAATGAATAAAGTATGTTGAACAGTGGCAGTAAGGTGGGGAATGTTGATTAAAACAATCAACCTTAATAGCATAATAGCCACTCCAAATATCAATTGTAAATTCAGATAAAATGAATCCATGATGGCCTAATGAGGTGTCAGAGTGACTATTGAAGACAAAAATATAATAGTATTCTGGTCACCAAACATACTCAGGTTCATGTGTGGAATAAACAAAGTAATACCATTTTCTCTGTCTTTCTAGAACCTTATACAGTTGAAGTCTTTGCATACTTCTCATTTATATAAAACTTATAATGTTATTAAAAATTCATTACAAAGGTAAGGGGGGGAGATAATTAAAAAAAAAAAAACTGAGACAATGTGGTGTTAAAAGTGAGCCACGGGCTTATAACTTGTTTTCTAAGAAGGGAAAGAGCATCTATCATTGAATAATTTGACTACTACTAACTGGTATAAACAGTAGCCTTGTGTAAATATGTTCTTTTGAAAATACTCAAATTTTATATTTTATATGCCCATAATTATAATTTATGTGTTGAATTATCAACTATTGCAAATATGAATTTGTTCTCTATATATTTTAGCTGATTTTCCATTTCTTAAAGGACTCATATTCATAGTTAGCCTAGCTCTTTAATTGTACTAGGTTACAAACCAGAACTTAAAGCAAATCATCTGGCTTTGCTTTTATGTCAAATGAGTAGGATTAATAGTGTTTCTTTCTAGGCTTTTATTATAGCTCCTACTTTTATCATACTCTAGATTGTCTTTCATTTCAGTAAAAATTACATTACTTCACTCATTCAGAATTTATGATCATGTAAGGAGAGCAGGGCTGATATGACGAAAACTCAGTAGTTAAAACATGAGAAATGTCAGGTCTCCCAACATTATTCTTTGTATCTACAAACACTCCTTATATGTTGCTAAAAGCTATAAGAATGGTATCTTCACACTCTGTCTCCCTGCTGAAAATAAGCTGTGCTGTAGTACACAATCAATACAGCCTTAGACATGACTTTTTAAAAGTCAGAGGTGTATGAAGTCATTTGATCCAGTCCAACCATTTTGACAGTTATGGCTTCATTAACTACTTTCCGTATATCTAGCCACTGGAGTCTTAAAGACAGGCACTTTATGTCATAAACTAAATTTCTTTATTGAAACAATATGACTCTTTCCGTGAAGGTATAAGGACTTTCTTCCTAGTAAGAGTAGATTAGTAAGACTTCAGCGGACTTATCAGAAATTGTTTATATTCTTCAAAACCTGTGAGTCAACAAAGCTATTTGGCAAGCAAGCCATTGATTTAATGTAAACTTTTCAACATATTGTTGGTGTGTACAGTGTTTATAGTAAAGGTGTGGAGATGATGGAGCATAATTGTGAAGAATCAGGAAATGGTTATCTGACATATAGAGGATGGAAGATAAAGGAGTGTGTAGTGAAGGGTCCCACCCAGCACTGTATTCAATAGTTCAGCATAGAGAGAGGGAAGCTGAGGTCAGAATATATGCTCTTCTCCAGGACAGAGTAAAACAGCAGGGATCAAGATTTAAATCTAGAATTCCCAAGTCCTAATTCAGTTCTCTCTCTGTAATACTTAAGCTATTTTGATCAGAAGAAAACATAGTTTGCTGGCTACATCTTGAAAAATTATAAAATTATCTATATTAACTTTCATGAAAACCAAAAACTGTTACCAGCAATGAGGTTGGCCTTGAAGCTTTTTAGTGTTCTCTATGATGATATTAACAAAATCACAGTATTCAGGTTCACTTGACATTTGCCCTGTCAACTATTTGGCAAATTGTCTTTAAGTAGATATTTAAAATATATATATATACACACACGCACACATTTGGTCATGATTTTAAATTCCTTTTAGATAAAGAATGAAGCCACAATTCACATTTTCTCAATACCCTCTTTTTCCCTAGGTAAAGATAATAGCTATCAAAATTTCCCAGCTTATTCCAACATCAAGGATGTTAGAGCCCTCTCTCTTTTTTCAACTTCCTCTACATGGACATATTCCAAAGGAAGATAAAAAAAAAAAATACCAAAAAAAAAAAAAAAACCTCATTTATCTCAATGATTTTTGATGGTTGAAACATCGAGCTAAATAAGAATCCTGCATGTTCATCATAGTCAACACTGGGCCCTCACTGGAGAATAACTGGGGATAATGAATGAGCTGAGGTGGTAAACAGCGGGAAGAGGAAAGCAGACTCAAGTGTGGCAAGGTGCAAGGTGAGGATTCCTGACAAGGTACAAGACACCTTTCTAAAACCAGTGAAAATGGTTTAAGAACAAGTGTCTTCAATTTAAATGCAATGTGGTAGGACTCCCAACCACGGGGATGTGAGTCAATGTGTCTCTGAATCAAATGTGCATGCAGGATGTAGCTCATCTGCTTTGGAAGCTGAGATGCATGTTAAGGAAGAGTTCAGAGCCAGTTTTGCTAATCATGCCAGTGAAAACTGAGAGTACTGCATATTACTGCAGAAGTTCAAGAGAACAAAATCAAAGTCTGCAACTCACCGTGCCTGTTGTGCCCAATGAAAGGTGATTCATCTGTTGTGTCAGGGGGCCCATCATGTTTGCTGGCTGCATTGACATAGGATGGTCCATTGTTGGCGTAATCACAGCACCCTAAAAGCAGAAGCAAAACACATCTGAAAACGTGTCTCATAAGGAAGGACAGTTCAAGCAAACAGACAATTACAGTAACCCATATTAACATTAATTTTGTCCACATTTTATTGAAAAGGCTAAGTTCAGTCATGTATGATTTTTATAGCCACTGCTGTCATTTTATAAGTGTCTTAATTTATAGGATTAACAGCTCCTTTTCATTTCATGGGGCTTTATTTGGGATGTGTCTAAATTGACTTTTGTTAGCAATTCCATTATGCTATGTATTCCAAGATACCACATGTACACTTTCATTGTTTCTAAACACAAGCTTCTCTGACCAGAAGATATGAATAATTTGGACATTCTTTAGTTTTACTTGATTTTTTTAAATAAGACCTTTGGTGTATTCCATTAATCCAAAGTTTATGTGACCACTCTTTGATCACAATCATACAATCTACCATGGGGAGATGCATGTTTGGGGGGGAGGAGGGATGGTAGCCCAAATGGGCTTCTTCACTAGAACCCCTTGAAGGAAAGATGACAAGCTAATATAAATGATCCGATGATGGTATCATGTATGCTATCCATCATGGAAACTATTTCCTATCGTTTTTCCTCCTAATCGTTTGACCTAATTTCTATCTGCGTTTCTTAATATCAGACAGGTTAATAAAATTTTCTAAATGCTGGTCAAACAGCATTTTCATAAATTTTAGTTCCTATTCACAACTTATCATTGTTCTATTACCCTTTCCTTCCTTTTCCCCCACACTACCATGCTCTGATTGACCAACTAAGACAATGGAACAGCATACATTTAAACATTTATATTAAAGTAGTTTTGTTTCATAGCATGCTGTGGTTTTCAGATTTGCAGCATTACCCCTTAAAATTTGTAAGTGCACATTATGATCCCCACTAAAATTCTAATTTGCACATGCCACCATAAAATTATCCGCTACTACCTGATTAGCTAGCCTCCAACCCATTTCCTCTCTGCTCAGAGATTGTCAGTTTATTCTCATAATATAAATATTTGTTTTGTTTGTTTGATTATTTTTACGTTTCAAGGGTAAAGATTTATATTTAGAAATCTGTATATATTACATCATTACCAAATCACAGAGTTTCCTGCAATACTCTGAAGTTGACACCCCCTGCCCCACTCCCCTTCCCCTCTGGGAACCACAATTTTGTTGTCAGATTCTTAGGATTTGTTTTTGTTTGATTTCAAAAGCTAAGGTTGCATAGACTCTTTGGGATTATATAATTCTAATGCTTTCTTTGAAAAATAATAAAAGCAGAGTTTAATTTAAATGCCCAGTAGTAATACAATGATTATGTTTGTGGATGTTAATGTTTTCCTGTAAACATTTTGCTCACTATGTGACATTTTTCCAGATGGGTAAATAGTTAAAAAAAATTAAGCTAGGATAGGTTCTTATATATGGCAGGATATCAGCACACAAATGACCCAAGAACAAATATTTCCTAACACTTTTGCTCTGGATGATTTGTTCCTCTCATTATCATCCATATCAACCTGTTCCTCAGCCACCTTATGTGTCCCTCTATATTGACATGGAGGGAGAAAAGGTATTGACCAAATATTTGGAAATGCTTCATGTTTAGAACCATTCCTGTTCAAAAAGACATTAGAATTTCTGAGATTAGAATCAACCAGAAAATGTGTATGTCATGTTATCGGCCTTGTAAATATACATAGATGTTCATGAATGTCACTGGAATTTAATGATGTTTCTGTGAATAGTTGAATGAGAAATGAGAAGTGCTTCTTTAATGAGACATAGAAGTTTTTACTTAATTCTTAGACATCACATTTTCTTCATGCATCCCAAACTTCTTTACAACAAAAGCATCTTTAGTTTTCCCATTTTTAAAAGGAAGACTCAGGTTCTTCTTAAATTTCTTTAGGATAAAGTATAGAATAACTTTAGAGTTAAAATAGAAGTCCTGAAGCATTTTTTTCAACCACAAAAGGGCATTTTCATAACATTTTAATCCTTAGCAGGTGCAAGACTTCAGTATTCTTGAAATTGAGAAGAGCCTATCTTCTTAGAATATTTTCCCCTAGAGATTCCAACATATAGCTAAACTGCAATACAGCCTTGGAAACTCTTCAATTCTAATCATTCTGCTCAAGCCACATAAAGATTTATTACCATAAATCAGAGATAAATACTAAGACATGTTTGGTATGGGTTCTTTCTTCCTCATGCCCTGGGGCTGACCTAATTCCTTCATGGTGGGAGACATAAGACTTCAGTCTTTCTTTGGAAGACAATATGCAAATGAGATATTCAAGCAAGTGACAGATGATTCAAATCCAGGCATGATAGGACTGGAAGGACTGAATGCCTGCATTTGGAATTAATTTAGGAAGAATTGCTGGTCTCTTTAGAGAATCCTTTCAGGGAGTGTGTTTGGGACTCATTTGATTACAGATGCCACACAGTGAGTGCTGCTTCTGTGTATAAACCAGAAACCTGACAGTCAAAGGGAAGAGTGAGAAGGGATTTGTCATCATTTGGACAGTAAGCACAGAGAGGAAAGCAACATAAGGAAAGCATTCCTTTCCTGACCAGATCAGTCATTGCAAATAAATGAACAACAAAGCACGGATTCTTGGGAAACGACTTGTAAGAACATACATGCTTGTTTATATTCAGTAAAAATGTGCAGTGAATACACAATATCTGCAAATTTTTAATTACATAAATTCCTGAATAGTCTCAAAGGGTGGGGAGAATTTGTAATTGTAAGTTAGCAATAGTTGACGAGGACCTCTTGGAGAAACACGTTTTCTTGATTTTTTTTTTTTTGGGGGGGGATGGCTGATAGAGTTAAAAATGCAGGTTCTTCCTAAATAAACCCTAGAAATATAACAGCATACTTAAAGGGAGGACAACAAAGGGGAAGGGAGCCCAGTGGCCTAAGATAAATCACTGGTGTTAAAATACATACAACTGAGGAAGTATGAACCTATTCACCTAAATCATAAATAGTGCTATAAACCAATGTTATCTCAATAAAGAAAAGAAAATAAGATGTAGGTTATCTGCACAAAGAATTGAGTCTATCATCACTTTGTTTTGTTTGCTCATCAAAGATTACAGAACCACCTTTGTATTTCATAGAACATAAAAATGAAAAGGAAAAAGGGGGGGGCAAAAAGGGAAAAGAAAACTCTTATGAATGTTAATGCAAATCTGGAGTCCTCAACCATAACCATGCTTCATTTAGTAAACTGTCAAATCCATTCTTATCCAATGCATTTGAACCATAGACTGAACAGTGTTTTGTGACAGATGTTGCCAACACATTAAAGGTAATTTCATTTACTTGAAATGTATAGAATATTCTGTCTGATGGAGTTCATTTGGCAAATGGCAAAGCAAGAGGAAACAGATTTTTCATTTTAGCATCTCCGGATGTCTGGGTTTGCTCAATGTTTAAGCTGCAAAGAAAAATATTGTAACATACTGTAATTTCACTAAAAAGCACAATGACCCAACCGATGATGGTGATGTCTGCTCCAATTTAGCCACTGACCCTACAAAACAAAGCTGTTCACACTCAAGAGATACAGGGCGGATCTTGTGGCCCTTGTTCTCCAATAAACAGCTTCAACAATCATTTGGCTGAAGTTTCCAAAGATGATGGACATGGAATAAACATATGTGACCTTACGCCAGAAAAGCATCCATGTTGTTAAACTTCTGCCAATATTTGAAATAAATTCTAAATCTTTGAGAGATCATCAATATTTTAATATATCAGGTGGCAATGGAAAATATGTAGGCTCTTTTCTATCAATAGCACATGTAGTTTATTTAGTGCTAGCACATAAACTACAGGAGAAGAATCACTGTCAGGATTATCAGAATTCTAGGTCAGTGACATTCCAGGTATAATCTATGAACCAACAGCAACAGAACAAGAATTAAACTCTCTGGGGTCCATGCTTTTGGAGTCTGTATTTTCACACACTTTCGCCAATGCTAAACTTGGAGACATATCATCTCGCTATATAAGCCCCTATTATGTAACTCAATGTTCTATTTCTTCCTAGCAATTGTTTTTCTTTTATTTATGCTGTTTCTCAATCATTTGTTTTAAACAGGTCTTGTATAAAGCATGAGACTTTTGGCAATCATCACATCATACATACATATATATATATATATATGCATAAAAATGTAAAGAAGTCAAGTCTACCATTTTGATAAGCTGCGCAGGTGTGATTATTGAATAAGTCAGCCCACATTTGGTGACCTGATATGTTCCCAGTTGATCAGTTTGGCTTGTATGGTAGCACATTTGAGGATATTTCCTTACTTACACTCTCAATATGCCAGAATTTGAAATCATAGTAATGTAAATAATAAAGGTAAGAAAATTATGTGGATGATATACATGAAAAAAAATATATGTCACACATATTCCCCTTGTTGTCAGAGTTAGATAACTTAGGTCAAAATGGTGGTGGTCAATATTTTACTATTTTCCCCTAGTTACTTATCAAAACTAGAGGACTTTTTAATAGTCATTGTTCAACATGACTTTTTTTAAAAAAATGTGGTTTTGTATCTCTATGATTTCTGCTTCTCTTTCACCTTTTATTATTTCCTGAATAAATATCTAGTTGAGTTTGTATATAGCAGATTATTTTTAGCACATGCAAAATGGAATGCAGAGATTAATATGAGATTATACATAAATTAGTGTAAGCGATTTTCTAAGAGCAGTGATCATATGTGTATGTATTTACAGTAATGTAAATGGCACAGAGCATCTTATTTCATTTGGGGGCTGGCTAACCAAAGGGAGTCCCCTTACAATATGACTGTCCAACGTCCCTTGTAACATATGCCAAGGAGTGCAATCTCTTTCATTTGTTGATGAATCCTTCCTTTCTTATTTGATTATTTGGACCTGAGTCCTGGGTTCTCACTCAAGCTGCTGTGGGAGGAGGGAGCTGTGGGAAAAAG